AACCGGAAGGAGGGAAACCTTTCCTGCAACTTTCATTTCTGGAATGAAGTAATTGCTGGATCTTATTTCTGGAACAACAGTTCTGCCTCCTAAGAGGTGAGCACAGGGAACATTGGGAAGGGCTGAGACCGTGGGAGAAAGAGTCTGAACATGCCATGCAAAGTCTCACATCCTTCAGTTGGGCAAAGGGACATTGAGAAATGCCACAGTGCTGGAATGCCATGGATCTGTGGAAAAACATGTAAAGAAGCTGAGGAAGAGCAGAGATACCAGGCAGCCTGGAAGATGGGGTACCATGGAATTTTGAAGAGGAGGGCTTGGGCTGTGTGAGAAGCCTGGCAAGAGAATGAATTTGCTGGAAATGCAGGAGATGTATGCACAATATTCAGTTTTTTTGTCATTTAATCCCAAATCGTTCCATGTTTTCCATTCTTCAGAGAGCCCTCATTCTCATGTTGCCCGATTATATGAGGCTTTTGGCCCTCAATGAAAAACAACTGCACTGGTTCTTCAGGTCACAGAGAAAAGCTTAGCACAGATAATCCAGCTGGGAAAGCTGAAAGCCTTTGGGACGATGCGTGGGGCTCCCAGTGCTATCCCTGTGTTACTTTTCTAGAAGTCACCAAGAGCCAGTCTGAGCTGCCACATGTATTTGGGTTTTCAGGCCATGCATTCTACCTAAAATGTGGTAGATCTGTGGGAGGAAGATGGAACAGCCCAGAAATGGCATCATTTTGACACATGGAAGACAGTGATTCAGTCATTTCACAGGTACATGGACTACTGCAAATATGCAGCTCATAAAAACCCCGGCAGTGTTTGAAGAAGCAGTTTGACAGTGTCAGTCCCCTCGTCATCTGCCAACTGGCCAGTCTGTTTTCCACGTAAGCCAAGGGCTCCTGGAACAGGTGAGCGCTTGGTTGGCCTGGGGAAATATCCCTGTCTTTGTGCATGAAGCTTTAATGACATTTCTTGATGTGGCCTTGTTCTGTGAGTGAGGAGAGGACCTCAGTCACTGAGGATGCAAATCCAGCACTTCTTGCTGACCTTACACTGACCTACATAATTTAAACCAAACTGATGCACAAGCGACACCGTTTCTGCTGAGAAAGTGCAATATGTGCCAACATGTTAATAGTACTTTTTTTCCCATCTGTTTAATCCAGTATCTGATGTGAATGGAGGGAAAAAATGATGTGCAATGTATTCCTTGCACCAAAGCCTTGGGAAAGCAAATGTAAATGCAGGCGTATGACACGAAATCCCTCTCTGCGAACACGCTCACAGACGGGGAGCTGCCAAAGCACAGTGAGCCAACCTACAGTGTGTATGGGATCTGCTGAAGGGAGGGGACAGGATTAATTTATGCACTTGGCCCTCAGAGCAGGGCTTACCTCAATGCTTGTCAATGCACAGATTCTGTAAATCTTTCTGGGAGAAGGAATGTCGGCTCCCACCAGGCTCCGGACACGCCGAAAATGTCGCTCGTGTGGATGATGACTTGTGTTCAATTTGCTGTCGTGGATGGGCCTGAACAAAACTCTCTTTCTGGTTCCAAACATCTCTAAATTTAGGAGTTTTTGGCAACCCAGTCCAGATATGAGTCAATAGCTCTCTGTGTTCCAAAGGATAAGTATTAGGCTGCAAAGGTGGGAGCTGTTATGTAAATGGGATAATATAAAGGAATATCTGTATTAATACCTTTGTTATGCTCAGAGCTAGAGGTTTGCCAAGGCTTAAGTGGACTCAGGATGGGCTGGACACATCCAACTAATATAAGTAATGTGATTTTTCTTGAACAAATGTGACTTCTCGGTGCACATTACAGCTGCTGAGTGTTCCAGCTCTGCTGCATCTGGTCCTTGGAGGGTTACAAATGTGTATTCTAGTGCTGAAGCTGCTCTTATTTCTGCATTTGTTTGGTACTCAGTAAATGGGTTCTGATTTTCAGTACTTCTGTCAGGGAAGTAAAAAATATTGGGGTGTGTGTTAGTGATGGATATAAAAGCCCCAGGGGAAAAAAACCCCAGAATATGAAATTAAGAGTGATGTGTCCACATGCAAAGTAGGACCTCTCATCTCCTTCCTGATGTCATTGCTGTGTTCAAACATTCTACATGAAGTAAAAGTCTTCCAAGGCTTCTCTCAGTGAATTTCTCATCCGAGTTTCTTCCACTGGTGCCATAATTAACACTGAACATGTTCTGCTGTTTCTCTCTTGTCCAGAGGGGAACCATAGGTGTGGTTTATGGTGGGACTCGGGTGCTGGCTCAGGGCAGGCAGAAGGTGAATGCCTTGAGCTGTGCATTTGTACTTTGGGTTTTGGTCAAGTGGGCAATTCTGCTTGGTTTTCAGGAAAGGAAACACAACTTCCTTCCACAGTCCTACAGAACCCTTCATATTCTTTAAGTGTTTTGTGATTCACCTGTCAATCACATACCAGTCTCACTCCAGGATGTCTCCTGAATGGCTGGGATTCACCACTGGCAGATAGAAGAGAAAACCATTGGCACTGAGGAAGGTAATTCCAATCCCTCTTCTGGCTTCCCAGGCTGGCAAGGACAGGCAGTTCCCCCTGCTCCTCCACAGGTCTGTCCATGGCTCACCATCATCTCTCCTCCCTGCACAGGGCCCCTCCCTGGAATTGTCCTTCCCACTGCAGTGCTCCTTTGCTGCTGTGCACCATCACCGTGCTGGCTGTACCACCGTGCAAGGAGAAGGTTGTCCCTTTTCCTGTGCTGCCTGGAGTGCTGAGCACTTTGACTCACCCCCAGGAGCAGGAGGCAGTGTCGTGGAGCAGGCACAACGTGCCACAGGAGGATCAGCTTAGTGAGCTGGGTCGGTGACACTGTGCAGCAGAACACAAACTGCTTATTCTTCCACAGCTGTTCTCCCAAGCACTTTGAACATTCATTCCCCTCAGCATGCAGGAGATTTACGTGTTTCACTTCCACGGACACGGCAGGAGAGACCCTCCTCACTTGCAGATTTGTTCTTTTAATAGGCCTCCAGCACAACTGGGAATTGAGCACATCTGCGTGTCCAACAGAGAGGAGACCAGAACCAGCTGTAGGCACAAAGAACTGCTTAGGAGGCCCATTTTTTTGTGCTGATTTGGTAACTCATGGGCCAGCCAAGTCTTCCTTTTTAGGAATGAGAAGAACAGGAAAAACAGAGGACCTCATCTTCAGATTGTATCACCCGTGGAAGGGGAGAGTTAGCAGGGAGAGAACTCTCCACATGAGGTTCTCCTCTCCCTGATGGAGCAGCTGGAGCAAATAAAGTTCATCGTGGGCAAACGTGAGCTCATTGTGTCTGCCCTCCAAGCTGGCAGAGCAGTCGGGGTGTTGGGGCTCTGAGTCAGTGCTCTGATAACTCACTCATGTGACCTGCTGATTGAAGTTTGAGATCCTTCAAGATACCAAACTGTGGCACAGACCTGCTGCTCCCAGTCTTGGCTGTCTCATGATCCAAACCTCTTCAAATCATAAATTTTATTGCAAATGGTGGAAGGACAATGTGGGGTTCGGGAGAGGCAGGTAAGGCCCTGTCCCCATTCTCAGTATTTGGGGCGAGTCACCCGCGCTCCGTGACGACAGGACAAGTCCAAGGAACACAGTCCTCAGCAAAGTCCTTTTAGAGTCAGCCACACAAAAAGGTGAATCTTAAAGACAAAAGAAAATGCTCTTAGGAGGGAAGAAGTGGCAATGACCAGAGCCCTTAATTCGATGCCAATGGGTATCTCAGAGTAAGCAATTTCCCTAAGGATTGCCAGAGATGCGAAATGAATTGTAAGAGCTGCTTTACAGGCAGTTGTGGGCACACACCTGCTCACAGCCAGGGAAAGACAGTGCGTAAATGTCTGGAATATTACATAAAAGCTGTCTGGGAGACTGGGCAGAGCAATTAAAATCCATCTCGCTTAAACGAACCCTGAGTGCAGGTCAAACAAATCTAATTTTTATTGTTCCTTAAGGAGATGTCTGCACAGGAGACAAAAGGGGGATGCAGCCATCAGGTTAAAAAATCAAGATGCCTTTAAAAAATTAAATGTTCACAATAGTGCTACAGCAAGCTGGATAAATGATATATTACAGCGATGGTTTAAAACTAATTGATGACTAATGTTGTAATGCATTTGTAGCTACACTGATCTATTATATATCTTGGCCAAGCTGAAGGGACACTTCAAGGAGAAAAATTGCTAACTGTTTTAACCTGATGGAACTCAGGGAAAAAATAGTTACTTTAAGAGATAAATGGAAAGGTTGTGACCTCCTAATGTACATCTGGGTCTTGCAATGCAAAATCAAATTATCATTACAGAGAATGTGATTGGTGATGGAATTAAAACAACTGCAAACCAGCATAGAAATTTCTGTAGGGAAGCAACAATAGCCCAGTTTAAGCTGGGAGCACTGGCTGAAAAGCTGCCTGGCTAAAGAACTGGTGTAACAAGTTGGGATGGAATTGTTTTGCTCTGTAATGAAAGTTGGTTTAATTGGAGACTGCAGGAAAAATGTAAGCATCTTTACGTCCATTTACATATGTAAGCCACTCTATAAACATTACTTAATTAGTGTCTAAATAATTAACAATTTACCCTAAGTTCTCAGTAAGGTGTCTCTCTGGATCTTGGAGGGGAGACAGAGGCCTCATTTTCCCCTCCTCATTTTTGTCATGCCTGAGGCTCGTGCCCTCTGGGTTTTACCCTTACAGTTGGAATTTGGAGAAGATGTCAGTCAGGCTCTGCTTATTTTCACATCTAATTCATGCAAAAACCAGGTTTCCTCCCGAGGCAGTAAACTGGCCCAGATTTGCTTCAAAGTTTGGCCCAGGTTCAGTGAATGACTCACTTTAACTAAGGTACATCCATCTTCCCGGCTGGAACACACAATGGGAAGTGTTGTCACAGAGCAGATACCCCCTAGAACCTCTCAGGAGCTCAGAAACCAAAAGCAGTGGCTTTTGTTCCATCCCCTGGTTTCCTGTTACCCAATATTCAGGACACTGGGTGGGTGTACCCAGAACACTGTTACTCAACCCTGAGTGCCAGTGTGGGGTTTCGCTCGCTGAACGTGCTGCAGAGGGCTGGGATGTGCTGCTGGAAGCTGGGCTGGGAGGGGCTGCAGCCATGAGCCCCCCTGGTCCCAGGATCTGTGCAAAATTCTATGGAATAAATCTGGCAATAGGTTACAAATCATGGGCCACTGCTAAAATATGGATTACCTTGAAAAGGCCATGGTTAAAAGGCCAAAAATACTGCTCTCAGTCTCTGAATTGGTTCTCTTTAAAAGGTCTAGGTAAGATATGAGAGAACAGTCTGACCAAGACACCCCTCACCACAGCTGACACGAATTTTCTTCTGCTTGAGAATAAGTTAATGAGCAAGAACATGAGCAGCCTGTGATATTCTCTGAGAGCAACATATTCCTCTCTGACAAACTAACCTTCCAGTGGGAAGGGAAATGCTTGCAATATCAAATTGCAAATATTCTGTACTCTGAAGGATTTGATGTTCCACAAACCTCCATATATCTTAACTGCTGTTCCTTAGGCTTCCTCCTCTGCCTTCATTCAGTTCTGGTTTGAAACCCAATTCAGGCAGCAGCTTAGAAAAACAGTTCTCTAGCTCAAGATGGAGCAGCTGAAGTCTTAATTTGGGAGGTCTTTGTTTTACAGGGGGACATTACTCTTGGGTCAAAATTTTAGTTATCCAGGTCATGGTGTTGGTGTCAGTTTTCAACATTAGAAACTCAGCGACACAAGTACCACTGAGCTGCCTTAGGACATTTATTTTCTCCAAGGATGACAAACAGTCACATCCACAGCTCTTACTGGGATTTCTTCCCTTCACTCACATTAAAACAAAGCAACTCTAACAGGTATTTTTTATTCAGGTGATTTCCTAAAGCTTGGGGCTAAGTAGATAATCCCGGATGTCCCAAGACGAGGAGTTCTCAGGGTGCGCTGTGACGATGGGGACAAGGTATCGATGGGAACATCCCGTGGTATTTCCATGATTGCAACAGACTGCAGGTACGGAAACTGTTCCTGTGTTTGGATCACACTCATAAACAATGAGCCCAGCAATTCTTGGAGAGGGTGGAGTTACACACCCAGTCACATATTCCTCCTAATTTTGAAACAATCAGACATAAAATAGCCTAAAATGAGAGTGCAGTTACCATTTACTCCCTTCCTCAATTTCTTATCTTGCCTTGTAACAACATTCCTACCTGTGGCTGACAGAAATGGCAAAAATGTCCAGTATTTCTGGTTTTTGATGTGTCTTGCTTTTTATTTCACTTTCAGCTTTTCTGACTCGTCAATGATTAAAAAAGTTGATTAAAGCTGTGATGGTTTTATCATTGCTCTGGAAAGACAAACTGTAAAATCCAAAGGGTAGAAACTCTTTGGGGATTTGAAAGAATGGATTTTACAGAATGGGATTTTAAAGAATGCTTGAAGCTGCTTCATTCACTGCTTGTGCTTAATACTGGAAAGAACTCTGAACTGCAGCTGTGCCAAAAGTTTTTTTTTTTTTAACTCTTGTACACACCTTAAAACATATTTCTCATTACATTTTAATTTACTGATAGCATTTGCTCCACTTGATTTATACTAAGTCTTTATGATTGTCAGATTAGTGTAAGAATACAAGTAGGAAATTTAAAGTGTGCCTTTGATTGTTCTATCTTTTTCCATGTTCTTTCTAATATTATGTCAATAGTCTAAAGGAGTTTTTGATGTGATGCACTGAATATTCTGACTCAATGCTGAGAGCTCAGCACTGGGCACATCATTTACCAGCTCACTGCTGTCAAGAGCTATTTCATCTTTCCTCCCTCTTGACCCAAGCTCCATTAATCTTTCCAGAGTTTTGGTTCTGGTACGGTTTTGAAACACTCTTGATTTTCCCAGGAAGCTTTAAGAACCTGAGCATCTGCTCTGTGCTGTTTGGGCAGCTCGAACAACTGCAGAGGGAAGGGAATAATCTCCCCCAGCCCCCTGACAGGATCACATCCCACCCCATCACGGCGCCCGGTACGGGCAGCGCTGGCAGGAAGAGCCGGAGAAACTCCTGTTTTCTGGGCCATGACCTGTGAGGCTGCAGGATTTTAGGAAATACCAGGTTAGCTCCAGGAGCAGGGAAGTGTTACAGCTCCTTTTCTGTGATTCTGCACAGAAGTTTTCAACATCAGTGAGAGCATCAGTGTGTGCATTCAGATTCCCATCTGTCACACAAAGCATAAATCCAAGGCATTATGTGAGATCAATCATGCCCAAAACATTTAAATGTACCTAAAATGTTGGAGAATTAACATCTTGAATTTTTCTCCAGAGTCCTGAGTGGTGCAGATGTTCTGCTAATCATATATTGAAAGCTCAGGCAGTGCATTAAGTTTGCAAAATAGATTTATATAATAAAGATGAGGCAGAGTGAACTGGATCCACAAATGTCTCTTTACTCACACTGTCTATAATCATTTCATTACATTTATTTGAGGTTTATCCAGTTTTGCTGTGACCACCTACTGACAATGTATCTGCAAGGAAGAAGAAAAAGCACGACATTCAAATGTGCAAAAAGCCGTACAAAATAAACCCTGTGACGTTTTCTAACGTGTGAATGTTCCCAAATGCCAGACTAAAACATCCCTCCGACCGTTTCTTTTACAGACTTCCCTTGTTCCAGAAACTTGGCCTGACTTAGGAGGAAAACCCATAACTGTCCCTTAAAAGTTGGGTTGCATCAGTGTGGGTAAGATGTTGGGCCAAATTCCTTAATGGTGCAATTCCATGAAAATCAGAAATCCTACACCAGGGCTGAATCTGCCCGGTGGTATAAAAATTATGTCCCCAGAGGCAAGACTTCTGGAAATAGTATCATATTTTAATTTTAAGCAGACAATTTGTTTTGGGTTGTATACAGAGCATGACACTCTCTCTGCTATAGGAATCAGCTACATATATGGTGATTTTATTCCTGTTTCTCATGCTGTTTAGCTTATTTGTGTATGATTTGCAGGTGGCTACATGATCCTGCTCCATCTAAGATTTTTAAAGATTACAGTGCTGGCATTAGAACATCATTTGTACTTTTTGCAATGAGTTTTGGAGAAAGGCTGTGTGCTGTTTATAATCTTGGAAGTACAGATCCCAGTCAGTCTTACCCTTGGAGAACAGACAGTTATATTTTTTACAAATTAACTGATTGCCTCCCATGACTGTGTTCACTGGCTTTGGAATTCAAAGGGCAAAATAGGATCTGCCTTTTGTAGGAGGTGCCAGGTGTGGAATCAGGACACGCTGCCTGAAGGGGGGTTGAGCTGCCTTCAGTCCTCTCCACACTGACTGGATTTGGCACCACTGTAACAAACTGCTTCTCACAAGCTGGTCAAATCCTATGGAAAAATCTTGGAAAGATGTTGCAGAAAGAATATTTAACCTCTGTTATAGTTGTTTTTCTGGAGATGTGGGGTATTGTGAAATCTGAGGAGCTTGACAAGATTTTCACAGCTTGGCTTGTGAAATTCATTTCCAGCTCGACAGATTGTGATTTCATGATTTTGCACATCTGGATTTTGGCACAGAGCTTTGATGGGAGATGCGTGTGGCAATCTGCCTCTGTCTGCTCCTCATCAGTGAGGAGTCCTGGCTGTGAATTGTCACCTGCCTGCCCTCACCTGAACACTGTCTGATCTACACAGGAAAGGTTGCACAGCGAGAGCTGGCCCCGACATCAGTGAGCTCAGGAATTACCTCCATATAAATGTTAATGATAATATTAATATTTCTAATATTTAAGGAGTGTAAAGGCACAGACAAAAAAGTTGCAGGGGTATCTGTGCTGTGTGTTCTGTGGAGCAAACAGAACATTTTCCCTTGCTGAAAACACTGTGTGCACAGACTGCTGAGCATCCCCTCTGCCACACTGCACCAGTGGGCTGCTTTTCTGGCCAGACAGTTTGGGAGGGGGGGTCTTCTCCTTAACTAATCCATGGAGATCTGGCAGTCTTCCCAGAGGGGAACCAGTTGACGAAAACACGACTTTAAGCCAGCCTTTTTTCAGCAGTCGCACCCCAGAAGGAGAATTTACAAAGGTGGCAAGAACCATGCGCATTTTCCCTTTGTGCATCGCTGTGTGACAACAAAGTCATCCCATTTTCCCACCAGGATCACATGGTGTCACAGAACTTCACTTATTCTTATGACATTGGCAGTGTGGTTTTGGAAGAAAAATCCCTAGGCTGTCTGGAATGCTCAACTGTTGGGTACCAGAGTCGGAAAACATCCTGCCTGCCGTGAACGTTAGGAAAACAGAGCAGCCCTGACTTGAGTGCCAAGTGGTTTTTTGGAAGGCTGACTCTCCTGAGAATAAAGGATATTGGTGGCCAGCCAAGAGGGCAGGCAGGAACAAGCCGTGGGCAAGACACTGGAACTTTGGAGCCTGAAATATTGTATGTTTGTTTGTATCAGTTTCTGACTTTAGTATTAAAAGGTGAGCTGCCCAAATGGATCACAATTTGATAAAATCTGAATTAGGTTTTTTTCTAGCTAAATTTAGAGCCGTGTAAAACAGGGATTTCCCTTTTTGGCTGTTCAAGTATCTGAGAGTAACTTAATATTTCTGTTAAAAACAGAAAAAGTCCCCCAAAGGAAATTTCCTTTTTTTCCTATGGTACACTCAAAAATTCCTTCTTGTCGTTGCAGAAAAATCAGTTGGTTTTTACTTCCTTATTTCCCTGTTTGAATGAATAGTCCTAATCTAATGAGCATTTAATCCAGAGTATTCTCCAACTTCTATTTCCTATACCACTGTTATACTTGTTTAAAATGAGATTGAAACCCACCCTCAAGTGCTTGTATGAACTGCCTGAGCACACGTGTCACAAGAACCTTTATAAATATTTTCTTCCCTTTCATTGTTATGCTAATCAACACCTAACTGGAATTTCTGGATGCTCAGAGATCCGTTTCTGCTTCTGGAAGTAAAACAATTGGCTTGCCTTGTTTTGGTTTGTACATGGATTGGTTTTAGATGAAGTTTTCTGCATAGAAACCCTTGAAAATGTCCCACACACAATCAGTATGTCCCACTCTTTGATTTGGGGCCCAAACACAAGTCTCAAAGCCATTTCTGTTCAGCCCCTGGGGCTGAAATGCACTCACTGAGCTGGTAGATGTTGTCTGGTGTATTTGAGAATCCTGAATCACTGGATTCAGAAGTGCCACCAATTCTTCCACAGTTATTTTTGCAAAATGCCCAGTTAACTGAAAAGCCAGGCCCACTGTTTGCAATTCCAGCAGGGCTGTGGGGGCAATTCAGTGAGGAATTCTGCACATGGTTTTTTGCTGGGGTGTCTCCCCTGTGAACATCTGCACTCCCAAAGTGATGGTTCCCACTGATATTCACCAAGATGCTGGGGCAAAACTTGGATCCACGGAGCCCAAGAGACATTTTTGTGTTGATCTCAACGGAGCGGGGCTGGATCTTTATTTCCTTGACAAAGCTGGAAAATGTTCCTTCCATCTCTTTCCCCTTCACACACATATTTTCTCTTCTTTATGGAAGAAGTAATTTGTCTTTATCTCACCATTCACCTCTTCCTTTGATTGCAGTTAATGGAATTGTCACCTTTATGGACTCATGCTCCATTTCTCAACCTGTCTGGACTTTGGCCTCCAAAGGTTACCACAAGTAGTGAAGTAATATGATTGAGTCTTTTTAGACAGATTTATGCAAGATTTCTTCTGCAGCAAGTGTCACATCTAGTCTAGTTCTGCAACAGAGAATATTTCAAAGATGCCAACTGTCATCTAAAACCACTAAATTGTTCTGAGGGGCTGGTTGAGAGGACTGAGGGCCATCCCGGGCAACGCTGATTTACACTACCTGAAGCTGTATCCCTGCAGCTTGAAATATGGGCTTTGGTTAATAATGATAAAAAGAATGTCCCTGTCTCCCAGAAAGACCATTTAAAATGGAATTTTCATCAGTTACTCTGTAAAGAAAACACAAAAGGGTATGTTTT